GAAATCTTGTTAACTGTCAAATGTCAACCAGTCAGCGCGCGCCGGAAGTCAAAATCCAAAACAGAAAACAAACAAACGAACACGCTCCCGGCGAGCAAGCGCCATGTCTCACGGAGGCATTTTTAACAGCAACTGTTTAATAATGACACTTTGAGTTTTTTCATTTGCAGTCCCGGTGATTGCAAGTATTGGCGTCCCTTAAAAAGATAAAACGAATAAATTAAACGTAATCAAAGTAAAGAACGACTACAGCGTCTTGGTCAGGAAATCAAGTAATGCAATCGAAGGACTCCAAAAATAACAGGCACGGCAACACAGACTTAAGCTTATCGGTGAATGATTATAGAACTTGATTTTCCTTGTTTACAAAAGGATTTGATCTGCGACAATTTCCCAAACGCCTCACGGAAAGCAACATTTGCCCCGAGTTTTGCCTCAGACCTGTGAACAATCATTGAACAAGTGAGTAACAATTTAGTTAGAAGTAAACCCAGCAGGATTCGTTAGAAACATGATACCTTTTTCCAGTCCACATCTCAACAGTATGGGACTCATCCACCACAACTGCGGCCAATTTTCTGTCAAGAGAAGAGCAGTTATCTTTCAAAATGTCGAGGAATCGTTTCTTCATAACTGTCTCAGCCGAACCGAAATTTTGCGGCACTCAGCCGAAATTTTGCGGCACGCAACTCGTCTTCCGAGATATCCTCTGTGGAAGCCGCCGGGATTCCCATACTTACGGCCTCAGCAATTTGGTCATCTATGATGCTTTTCAAAGGACAAATAACCTACACAGTTTGCCGCTCTTCTCCCTCTGTGATCGACACAGCAACAGCAAAGAGTTGGAAAGTAAGACTTTTGCCGTATCCTGTCAGAAGAACCGCGAGCACATCATCTTTCTTGAGTAAATAGTCCACAGCACTACGCTGTTCGGGCTTCAATTGCAGCGTAAACTTCAAATTATTTGATAAATGGTCACAAGCCTCGCGAAGAACAGCATCCCTTCTTTCCGCCATTTTAATTTTTTGTCTCTACTGGAACTGAAAACTAAGACTACGTCATGAAAAATTAAAATCAACCAATCAGCGCATTGCGTCCAAATTTTGGACGCAGACATTCGATATTCTGAGACTTGCGTCCAGGCTCCCCTTCTTGTGTCTCCATGTCTGTATCCCCACGAACGGGGAGCCTGTTCGCAAGCTATTTTGTGGAACGCAAGTTTTTTTGACTGATTGAAGTTTAAGCTATGTGGCAGTGACTTCCACAATTTGTTTTTTGGTCAGAAAAGTATAGTTGTTTCGTCCGCTATATTAATCTATTAATAGATCCAATCGCTAAAAGGTTACATAAAACAATCGTATTAGTTAATCGAATCACAGGTAACCCAGGCTCACTGTTTGTGTCACGTACACATGGTTAAATAGAGAGAACATATGGGGCGAAGTTTAGGTCTGGAAATTTGCTTGAAAATGGAAATAAAAATCAATGAAACTTACCATGTGGCGATTTGTTGTTGTCCTTAATATGTACACGAAGTTTCGGGAAAAACACTCTTCTTCACCTGGAGGAAAGGTATACTCCTGTCGACCGATACTCCTATCGACCGATACTCCTATCGACCGATACTCCTATCGGTCGATACTCCTATCGGTCGATATTTCACCGATACTTTAAATCCGTCATCAACCGATATTTCGGTCGGCAGACAGATGTTTCGGTGGGTATGTATAGGTTCATAGATTTCGGCGAATACACACCAACACCATACAAGGTTGACAGTATATCTCTAAATGTGCTAACATGCCGATATACTAGTGCACAACAGGGATACCTCACCGAGTATCGGTGGTTTATGGGGAAAGAAAACGCGAGAAACCCCAATGGCCCACAGCAATTGATTAACGCTGTTGTGGATGGATCCCGCTTTTAATTTTTTTTTGTGGAAAATTAGCAAAATAAAATAGAAAAAACAATCTCTCATTTTCGTTTATTTTTTACTCTTCAGCAAACTTAATTAACAATAGAGAATTAGCATAATAAAATAGAAAAAACAAAATCTGACTTTGGTCCATTTTTTAATCTTCAGCAAACTTAATTAACACACAAACAATGAGATAATGTACTATCAATCTTAGTGCATACTTATTTCTTATAATTTTTCGTAGCAATCTGATGGTCATCATGCTTAGGAAAGGCATAAACGATAAGATTATGCTGATTTCATTGTACGTTTTGCTGTTGTTTTGACGCAAGGCACCCTCTCGACGCAATAAAGGAAATAGAAAGGATAAATTTATTTTTACTAGACAATAATATATGACAATTGCAACTGATTCCGGCAAGTGAATCAGTGATCTGGTGAGTTACTTCATAACCTAGAACTGCTCTTTGAAAACTGAACATCCTGTTGCTTGAAAGTTGAAAGGTGCCTGGTCCTTTAATTTGAAATTTAGAACTGGGCCATTAATCCTATTAATTTCAGCTGGAAATTTAGATATACGAAAAAAGAAGTTTTTTACTTATTGTCCATCTGATAATGTTGATTTGTAACGACTCCAAGGAAATGAGCGGCTCATTTCCTTGAATTTGCTACAAATCAACGTGATGAGATGGACAATAATGATACTTTTCAGTTGGGCTACATATGAACAGAAACTAACGGTGCTAGGTCATGCTAAGAAGTTGTTTTATAATGGAAACAATATTTGAAAATTGCCAGAAACCGATTATGCCACTGGATGGGACAGTTAATTTGTTAGTAAATAGGATCTAAGAAAAGAAAAGTAAAAAAAAAGTTTTCCAAGGAAAGATTTACGTCTTTCCCGTCTTAACATAGGTTAATGTTAAGCTGACGTCTAGGGTAAGAGACAAACAACAGGGATGACCACGTGACAATTTTGTTCTTTGTTGTCTTTAACGTAAAGAGGATTAGTTTTCACGATGATGGAAAACGTTACTGGGATTTTTTCTTGTGATACATCAGTCGTGTGCTATCATATCATTTTCTTTTCAACATTTAACATTTGCCTCGTGTTAAGTATTTACGGAAAATATTGGGAAAAAATGTCAGCGAAAAGTGCTTTTTAAATTAACATTGTAACGCAAATTATCACAATATAGTGGACATATGTGCGCGAAGCAGGTAAGCAACCTTTTTTCGTTTGACGTAAACACCCAACTCAACCAGTCTAACATTAACGAAACCAAAAGCAAATGTTACAGCCTATTTCATCTAAACTGCTATGTGGTAAAGAACGCAAGAAACTACCGGTTTTAAGCTCATCTCAACTAATCTTTTGTATTGTAAAAATCCTCTTCTGGGTAGAAAGGCAGCAGTTTGCCTTCTCCTTTCATCTTATTAGCTCGAGCCCGATACTATTTCAAGGCCAACCGACAACTCTTTTCATTGCATTTAACCGACGCTTTGCCGCTTTTTCCCGATTCCTGATGTACAACTGTTTTGTACTTGTCAGGGTCAATGGCGACATGTCGACACTTGTGCCAATCCTGCTGACATCGCATCCAGAGGCGCGAAAGGCTCCGAATTACACAAGTTGGAGCGATGGCTCAACGGCCCGAAGTTTCTGTGGATGGAAGAGGAAAAGTGGCCCGAACAACCGTCCCAGCTGCCGGAATTGCCTCTGGATGACACTGAATGTAGGAAATGCCCTGGTCGTGCGAATGTCATCGTCCGTGGTAAAAATTTGGAACCGCTGCTGTCCCGCTTCTCATCCTGGGACCGTCTTAGAAATGCCATAGCCTGGTTAGAACCTTTCAAGAAGTATTTGGTTGGCCTCCTTATCAAGGATCCAGACAGCATTCCCAAGGGACCCCTGACTGTGAGTGAAGTTATTGCTGCAGAGAGTGTCATCATCAAAGCTGTCCAGCACGAAGCATTTCCAGCGGAGCTGGCAGTGGTAGGCCAGAGAGCGTCTGGGAACCGGAAGAAGAGCGTACTTTTGTACTTGTCAGGGTTAACTCACATATTCCTATGTAGTCTCTTAAAGTGTTCCTAGGCACACCATATTCCCACATTGCCTTGGCAAGGGAGCACTTCTTCTCTGCCAAGAAGTCCAGGACACCCCCATACCTTTCGTGGACGCCACTAAGGTTGAGGCCTGTAATTAGCCTTTAGAAACAGAATGACATTAAATTAGTGGTGGTGGCTTGCTACAGTCCTGAGGTGTTACGGACCTAAGAAGGGCCCGACTTTTAAACTCCTTAGTACACTTCGAATACGATATTTTACGGTCAAAACCTCACGGATATGCGACATGTGCGACAATACAGAGGTTAATAAATAGCCAAACTAAACTGCTGAGTGTTTGAAGGGCCTGGCCCTAACAGTCTTAACAGTTTCAACAGCTTTTAACTCAAAATCTGCAGTATGACCCAACTCTTGTTCCGATTGAACATCTGTAGGAAAATGTTTTTCTTTTTCAAAAATACCCGCCGTCTTACATTCTTTTAAAAATATTTGGCCGTGGATGCGTTTCTCCCCCATATGCATGCCCTTTATTTGAGCGCACTACTCTTACGTGAAGCCATGCCATTTTGCTCGCGATGAAAAGCGGAAAAATTAACACTCTTTTGCCTGTTTTTTATCTTTCCGTACGTACACTTTAATGATTTTAAACTGTCACCCGCGGGTACCGTTACGCAATTTTTTTTTTTAACAATGTTTTCGGAAATACAACGAACTCACATGTAGCAATTATGCAAACGTTGTGCACAAGAACAGATTCTTTTACATACCTCTAGACTTTTTTGGGGCAGGTTCCTCGATCTCTTCGACACTATCATCATTCTGGCGGTCTTCGTTCTCGCTAAGTGTGTTCAAGGATGTAGCAACGTGCGAAGTTTGCAAGAGGGTATCGCGCTTCATACATTCCTCATACAACATACCTAGTCCGCATATTTCGGACAATATCGACGACAACCTTCCCAAACAAGTGAAAATGTGTGAAATGCAGACTTTCGTGTTCTCGATTTGACTTCAGATTACCCGCTAGAGCCATTACTCTTTAATCTCCGTCGTGGGGCAAGATGGCGGCCGATTTGCCGTATTTTGACTGGGCACAGAAAATTAAAGATTTGAGCAAATTAAAAAATTTTTGCACAGAAATACTCCAACAAATAAGCTAATTTCGTTAAGCGAGAAAAAATCTTTGGGTTTAGGTGCACTTTAAAGTGCCCTTGAGACGAAAATTGACCATTTTATCTTGGCCTAAATTGTTTACACAATGTTGAATTGTGTAAACAATTTCCTGACCCTTTTTTGCCATTTAAAACTCAAAACAAACCTTCGATGACCAATTATTCCGCTTCAAAGTCGTTCAAAATCGTCGGCCATTGCTGAAAAAATGTTCCAGCCGCGCCGAGCCCGCAAAAACGTCATCATGACGTAAAAGGCTCAAAAGACTTATGCTTTGCTTTGTCACAACTCTCTTTGTTCGCTGCACAGAGAATCACACATATTACTTTTTAGAGAACTGCGTCGTTGTCAGTCGGGAAATGTCGACTTTTTCAGACGATGAATTGTCCCAGAAATCATCTGAAGCTTCCGTGGATAGTTTGGCTTCTAGGTTTTCTTACCGATTTTCTGCCTCAACTACAAAGTTCATTCCACAAAAATATCTCTCACATGTGGGACATCAAAAACGTAGCGGTGACGACTCTATCACACTACGTATGCGTAATTTGTATGAGCATGCACAGACACTTCATTGTCTTTCTGTCCCACAAATCAAAACGTATCGGTGACGTTTTAATCCCATAATAAAACGATTCTAATACACTACGCATGCGTAAAGTTTTTGAGCATGCGCAGACACTTTTACGTTACCTGTCCCACATGGATGGGACTCAACATACGGTTTCATATATATACCTCAACCATCTTTCATCAACATGACGAGCTTCTGCGACGAACCAAACCACGGTGGGTCGACTTGACATCGACCAGATCGCAAACGCATACTTCTGCAATAGAGTCCTTAAGCGGTGACGTCACGTTTCCATGGTACTAAAAATCTCAGTTCCAAACAAGCGCCCATTCGATTCAAAATGGCGACATTATCCATCGCTTCGCTTTTTTCTTTCTTCTCAGAAGAAAAGAAATCTATAAAAAAGGGGGAAAACCACTTTAAGTCAGATCACATTGAAGCATTTACTTACCAGCAGGGTGTTTTACGAGGAGAAGTACACGCAAGCATGAAACAAAAGGTTTATAAAGTGACGGTGAGTTGTTATTCTTTGCATCATCGATCTTTTACTAGTAGCATCTTGCCGAAAAAACCGTTTCTATTTGCCGAACTATGCCAGGACTTCAGCCT